CCCCCTCAGTGATGGGTCTGCAGGATCTGGACCCCCTCAGTGATGGGTCTGCAAGATCTGGACCCCCTCAGTGATGGGGTCTGCAGGATCTGGACCCCCTCAGTGATGGGTCTGCAGGATCTGGACCCCCTCAGTGATTGGTCTGCAGGATCTGGACCCCCTCAGTAATGGGTCTGCAGGATCTGGACCCCCTCAGTGATGGGACTGCAGGATCTGGACTCTGTTTTCAGGATGTTTCTCAGCTGAAAACCCTTTTCTTCAGGCTGAATTAATCAAACTCTGACAGTTCTTGGTTGCCCCCCCCCCCCACCCCTCTGGAGGACCCCCCAGGTTCTGTCTGCAGAGGACAAAGCCCACCTGTCACCTGCGAGCTGCTCCTTGTGTTTGACGTCACCGTGGTGATGAGCAGCTCCTGCCGCAGCCTCAGCACCTCCTGCTGCAGCCCCCGGGCTTTGTTCCTCCAGCCTCGGTCCAGCCTCCTCAAGCCGCGGGACAAAGCCTCGCAGTGGTCTCGGCCGCTGGCGCCGGGGGGCTTGGCTTTTATCACGGCCATCGCCACGGCAACTCTGGCTCTCATGTAAAGCCACCTGGCCCGGCCCGCCTCTGGAAAAGATGAGAAAAACAGTTTTTATGTAAAGATCCAGGCTCCTCCTGGATCAGCAGTTCTCCAGACTCTCTGAAGGTCTGAAGTAGGGTTGGGCAATATCTGCAAAAATTTTAATAACGATTAATTTGATGATTAATCCCCTGGAGTCCCTTATGTCCTGTCACATGACCAGTTTAGTGGGAAATATTTACTTGTCATGAAAATCTGTTCCAAATCGTGTCAAAATTACAGACTTCAGAATTTAAATTGTGTTGATTGATAAATAAATTTCAGAACTTTTTTTATTGTTCGTCCTATTTGAAGCAGAGAGGAGCACCGAGCAGACTCTGACTGGTGGCATTAATCATATTAATCGTCAAGTTCCAATTAGGTGTGTAAGAAAATATCGATACACTGAAATATCGCGATGTTTCATTTCCTGATACTGTATCAATATTCTAAAGCCCTGTATCGATTTTTTATTAAGGTTTAAAATGTCAACTTTCCTGCCAGCCGTTCATTTTTATGTTGTAGTTCAGCCTCTGACCACTAGTTGGCAGCAGTGAGCCAGCCATTTGGCTCCTCTACCTCTTGAGGTAGAGGCTATTGTTAAGTGTTGGGTGACCATTTTGTAAATTAACGTTAAAAACTAAAAGCTGTAAAAAATATATATTTTAAAACTATTTATTGTTAAAATTTAGTCTAATAATTGAAAACATGGATTAAATAAGAAATATGAAACAAATAAAAAATAAAATACATACAAAGCAGAACACAGCTAAATGTATCAAAAGTATGTCTATGTAATATTAGATTTTTCTGAGACAATGAATTTTGGTTTTTCATTTTTTACCCAGTAAGAGGTTTTTATTTAAAAGAATTTATGGACAAAAAAAATCGCAATATATCGCCTTGCTTATAGTATCGCAATATATCAGGATATATCGTATCGTGACCCCTCTGTCATGATATGTATCGTATCACCAAATTCTTGACAATACACAGCCCTAGTTCCAATAAATAATCGATTGATGTTTTTCTGATGATTAATTTCTCAGGATACGATTTTGCCCAACCCTAGTCTGAAGGGTCTAAACAAGGGGTGTCCAAACATTTTGTCATGTGGGCCAAAATCCTAAAGTCAGAAGGACTTGAGGGCCAAAAATATTTTTTCTTTACCTGCTCAACAATAAACTAAGCATTGAATACTTTAATTAAACAAATAACATAGTCAGATTTATTGCTGGAAATTGATGTGTAAATTAATCTAGATCCAGAACTTTAAAAGTGTTTTGCAGGTTTCCCCAACTGGAAGAAATTTAGCGATTTTCTAGGTTTCAATTGGGGAAAAAATAAACCAATTTAGTCAATTCTGATCAATAAAAATCAGGATTTTGGTCACTCTTTCATTGAAAATGCTTGCTGTATTCAGACGAATTTAATAAATAATTTAAAGCAGATTGGAGTGCAGCAAAATCAGCTTTTGAGTAGAAGTCACCAGATAGATGTGGAAAAAGCTAAGAGTCTGGTTATTTAAAGACAAGTAATTGGTACTGTTGCTAATATTTCTATTGTAAGATTTTACTTTGTGATAAATTTGCCCTAATAATAAATAGAAAGTCTCCAGCTACATCGAACATCTGTGCCGGGGGGACAAATTTGTAAACAAATTAGTATGATTCTTGAACTGAAGTCAGGGGCCACACAAAGTGAGTTCAGGGGCCACAAATGGCCCCCAGGCCACACCTTGGACATCCCTGGTCTAAACGGTCTGCGGGGTCTGCTTTGGACTTTAGCTGTTTTTACTCCCAGTTTCAGACTTTGTTCCTGAACAGAAGCTGAGAAAAGACCTCCAGGAGGACTAAATGAGTCTGGACCCCTAAACACCAGTGATATATTTATACATGTGAATTAAATAGGGCTGCACCAATTAATCAATTAATCGACAACTAATCGATTAGTAAAATAATMGATGACTAATTTAATAATCGATTAATCGAAAAAATAATCGTTAGATTAATCGATTAGAAAATAATTGTTTGGTACAGCACTAGAATTAAACTGTTTGTATATTTGGGCTTCATCTATAAATGTAGCAGTTTGTGATCAGATCAATAAGGCAACTTTAACATTTATTTTAAAAAGGCTGAAAATCAACAGAATCTGACTGAACAATTTAACCTCAACAAGAAGAAACCAGTTTAATGTAATTATTTAATTACAGGAACTATTTTTGTCTCATTTTGTCATGAAGCACCCAGAAATATAAAACCAAAATAAACTTGAAAACATGAACTGTGTAGTAAACGTCAGTCCATATGTTATTTATTAATGTAAACCAGCTGAGGTTAAACTACAGTCAATGTAACGTTAGCTAGCTACATGCTAACACCAAAAACTACAAAACTATAACTCGCAGCTTCGTTATTTATAATAAAAACATTACAACACTGTTCTAACAGGTAAATGTATACATTTAAAACGGCCACCTTCTGTCTCCATTAGCCGAGCTGCTCCAGACATCCTGGACTGGATTATTTCACCTGGTTCCACCGGCTAACCTGAACACAGCATGCTAACAGGTGTTCTGAACAAATCCGTCACCCGGAAGTTAGAGCAAGAACAAAAGCCGTTTATTTATTTATTTATTTATTTATTTATTTATTTTTATTGTGACTCCTCATATTGAAATGAGGATCAAGTCAAATTTTGTCAAAATGATCGAATCAATTTCAGATTCCTGCTTTAAAAGCTTCATTTTGATCCCTGGATCATTCTGATGTCATAAGCTTATCCAGAGTTATGACTTAATTTGTCTTGTTGGTTATGACAATACATTACTGTTTGGTCTAAGTCCTAATTTTATGTAAATTTATTGAGTAATTTTATTTATGTCAATATATAGAAGAAACCTCAAACAGTATTTGCGTATTTGTGATTTCCCAGTTGAAAAGAGACAAAAACATTGTTAGCTCACAGGGGAAAGTTCAATGTTTTAAGGTGTTTTTCCTCAAAATCAGGTTTTTAGTCGCTACTGCTTAAAAAAATGCTTCAAACAAATTTCAAGTATTATATTTTAGACATTTAATTCAAATAGATATCATAGATAAGGCATTAATTCATTATATTTTTGACAAAATGCAATTTCAGCACTCGTTTAAATCAAAACTTATCTGCCTATTTCTCCATATCCCAGTTTAGGACTTCATCTCCGTTTTTATGTGATGGCTCACATTTTAGGAAAGTTTGGAAAACATTAAATGCATTAAAAAAATTTTGAGAAAATAATACACGACAAAGCATTTTTTTGTTCTTTTACAACCTTATATAAAATGGAAGTAAACTTTCGGAA